AGTCTCTATAACAATTTCACTTGATTACAGCAGTTCACACATTTGACTCCTTCTGGATAACGAATTTCTCACTGTTGTCTGGATCTTGCACTAGCCTCTACTCTTCTCTTCTTTATCCTTCTGTATTCTTCTGTCGTATTCCGTCTTCTTTTAAGTCAAAGTCACATTGCGACTGACGGTCGGTCGGTCGGTCAGTAAGTCTTGGTGTCGAGTCCCATCTGGGGCTAACCAGATATTAATTATTACCGTTTGAGAGTTACGGTCTTGGTCAGTTCTCGCTCTCTCTGAAGTAGGTTTCGGTCTAACCGTACGGAGAACACCTACTTGAAGGTAAGATCTAAAAGTTTGTGATGATGGTAAATTGTTACAATTAATATTTTGCTGGACATTATCCATCATCTTGTCTGTTCTAAAAAACCGTCTAGTTTCTATTAAAGACACAACGTTTCGGTAACGAATCTGTCCCCGTCTTCAGGTAAAACCTACTCAGTTGGGTCCAATAGACAGAGCTAGCCCCTATCTCCCTCTATTGGACCCAACTGAGTAGGTTTTACCTGAAGACGGGGACAGAATCCAGTTCCCGAAACGTTGTGTTTTTTAATAGAAATTATACTGTTTTTTAGAATAGACAAGATGATGGATAATGTCCAGCAAAATATTAATTGTAACCTCCTTGAAGGGTTCTCTTTTTACGTCTCTGATGTAACTGCCCGTTCCTGTATCTGTTTCCTAGGAGACGTCTTCAATATTTCCTCCGTTGTCATGATTATTGAGAACTTCGCTAATAAGTAACGGAGTTCTGTTGTTGACCGCGTTACACGGGGTTTTCTGGTTCCAAATCTTAATGATTTGAGCAACTCAACATAATATTGCTCACCCACCCATGTCTTGGTCTTTCTAGTGGCCTGTTTCTTTCTAGCTTTCCCACCAATATCCTATATGCATCAATCTTCTCTCCCATTCGTGCTACCTTCCCCGCCAATCTCATCCTCCTTGACTTGATCATTCCAATTATACTAATAACTATCTAATTTCTGTAACACTTCTAACACACAAGAAGGCAGCAGATCTGAAGTTTTACCACCACAATTAACTAACTCTAGCACCTTGACCATCACAATTTTTCTATGTGAAAATATCTAACAATCAGGGGCACTAAATTTTCGTCCAGGTGGTTAGATGAGTCAAAATGAAACGAGCTTCTTTTAGCGTTTGAAGAATCTGTTCAGTTGCAAATGGCACGATAACATTGGTGATTATTGCTCTACATTTTGTTTGTGAACATATAAATTTATCGTTGAAAAGTTTCCTCGTGGTAGTTGGGCAGTCCATGGGTTTGAAACTGTGGTTATACGTGCACCGTAGTAGTATTTAAATTTACTATCAAACATTATTAGAAACTATTCGCCATCCATCCGCCAAAACCGTGGAGAAATAGCGTCCGATATCCAGTGGATCGGAAATGGGTGGATCTCGAGTCAATCTTAACGCGGTGAACAAGCGTTCCTGCACCTTCCGGAAAACCAACCCCACCGTCAAACCAATAACTAGAAAATTTACTGAACTAGAAGAATAGAGGATGAGAAGTAGATGGAAGCCGATCACAATTCCCGCGCGGTCTAAGGCATGAATTGTCTTCGCCCGCTCAAACACTGGGATCGTGGGTTCGAATCCCATATATGGCATGGACGTCTCTCCGCGTTTCTTTTGTGTTTATGTTGTCCTGTGTAGGTAGCAGCTTTGCGATGCGGCTGATCCCCCGTCCAAGGAGTCCTACCGAATGTCTGTAGAGAAAAATAGTACCAGGTTAACTGCGATGGGAATAGGCCAGAAGGCCTAATACGAAAGGTAGTAGTAGAAGATGAAGAAGAAGAAACGAAGATCCCTTGATCGAATCCCGAAGCTGATCGCCAGAGGCCATAAACTTGTTTATGGCCTGCATAAGCTAAGAGCAAGAGTGTTGGGCGCAAAAGCTACAAAAGAAACTAAATGAAAAGAAATTTACGTAACCCACAGCTCGATGAGAAGCGACCTACGCCACTGATTACGGACAGATATAGGCCTTATGCATTTCAGAGAACAGTTTTTTTTTTTTAACTCCAATAATTATACAATCTATCCATTAAGTGTGGATAATAAGTACATTTTGTGGTTTACATATAGAAAAAAGGAAAGAGAACTTGTCGTGGTGAGCATGTTCCAATGAACATGCTCAATACTTATTTTAACTGCTTAGTGATATGCAGTTAAGTGTTGAATTATTCGAATCTGATGGTTTAAATCTGTTGAGCCTCCTGATTTCCCCTTCGTCGTCGAGCAGTTTTTGTGCCAAGTCGTTCGGATGGGCCTGGAGTCTGATTTTATACTTTTTGCTGTTTTTTTTTAATTTCCTCTCGTACTGTTGGTACATCTAGGTCCTTGTGTAGTACCGTGTTCGGCACATACCACGGTGCGTTAACTATTATTCGTAATACTTTGCTTTGAAATCGTTCAGAGAACAGCTGATACAAGTTGTTTCACAATGCCGTTTCGACTGAATAGGCTATAATGTAGATTGAGACAGAAGAATGATCATAAATGGTGATAGCGCAGAGTCTGAGGATTTCAAGAAGGCGGTCGTGGCCCGGTTCACTATAGGCTGCAGTTAACCAATGCCAAATTCAAAGAGGCCGCCCCTGCATCATACCTACGCCAGATAAATCCATTCCAAACCCTTGCCCCTTTTCCCTTTCAAATACAGTTAAATATTATATTCCCATCTATGTCTAGGTTTCTCTTCTGAGTTTTCGGCTAGAATATTGGGTGCATTTCTCATATCCCCCATGGGTACTACATTTTCCGTCCACTGCACCATGCTTAATTTAATCAGGAACGCAATGATAGGAGCCGGGATAGCGCAGTCGGTATAGAGACTGGCTACGGGCTGGACGATCGAGGGGTCGGAGTTCGAGTCCGTTAGGGTCAAGAATGTTCACTTCTTCAATCGTCCAGACTGGCTCTGGGGTCCACCCAACCTCCTATACAATGGGTACCGGGGGCTCTTTACCGGGAGTAAAGCGGCCGAGCCGTGAAGCTGACCACTCACCTCCAACTAGTGCCGAGGTCAAGAAAATGTGGATCTATACATCCAGTCCCCCATACGTCTTCATGGCGTAGTGCAAGGGACAACATTACTATTTTTCACCTTTTACCCAGTAATGATAAAGTTTTGCCGATGACGCCACTCCTCGAAATATATCTCCTTACAAATAAAGTTACGTAGAATACGATTAAATATAGACATACAAAAATGTTTTACGGAATAAATAAGTACTAAATACTGTTAAACGTTGGCTGTGCCGGAAGTTTCAGCACCTCGGTAACAGTGTCATTCTCGTCCCTGAATGATATGGAATGCAAATTGCAGGCTGTAACTGTCATATGTTTGCTCCTCCGTTATTTATATCCTTGTTTTTTCCAGACGGCATTGAACATCGCTAACACAGTCGGTGAGGAGTACTTTACCTAGTGCGAATCGTGCTGACAAGACACTACTTTCCCACCTCCTGACACTCCGTCTATAACGAGGCCTAAGGCTATAGAAGTAGGCTGTATGTAAGTGGAGTAAAACACAACCACTCGCAAACATGTGTGCAGTGCGCTACAGCAAGATTGACTGTCGAATGGAGAAGTTCGTAGAATGCGCCAGTACGGAACTGCTGCCACTGAAGGTATGTTTTCTTTTTGTTCTACGCATATAACACTCGCTTAACTTAACTAATTAAGCACTACGCCATGGAGGCGAGTGGGGAGTGGATGCATAGATCCATATTTTCTTGACCTCGGCACTAGCTGGAGGTCAGTGGTCAGGTTCACGCCCCGGCTGCTTTGCCCCTGGGAAAGAGCCCCGGTACTCATTGGATAGGAGGTTGGGTGGACGACGTGGAGAAGAGAATATTCTTGTTCCTATCGGGATTCGAACTCCGACCCCTCGCTTGTCCAGCTCGTAGCCAGTCGCTTTACCGACTATGCTATCCGGTTGCTACTTAAACTATTTCACCACACCGCATAACAACTGTGAAATCCAAAACCTGGAACTCACATGTCTTCGAATTCAAGCATACAGTCATAATTACAAAACTTACTTAACGATTAGCGATGGCACAAAAGGAAATTCAGTTCCAAACTCTGTTTCAAAATGTGGTCACTTACAGACATCATGAAACGGCAAATGTAAAACTCGTTTTGTTTGGAGAACAGAAAACCAAAAATACATTTTAACATTTATAACCATGGCTCTAGAATTGCGACTTTATTCCAGTAGCAACTGAAGAATATCAGTTCGCCCTCAGTCTCGCAGTATGCTTCTGACAAATCTTTTTACAGGAAAAATTAAAATTTGAACCTTGAATAAATAATAAAGGTCAGGAAACAGAGTAATACAATTTAAATTCCTTTTCTGTATCTTGCACCTAACAATAAAGTATTTGTTTATCAAATATTTAATACATTAGGCCAAGACTAAAAATGTACTCGCCACTAGTCTCCATTAAGTAACCTTGGCGAGTGGGCAAGCTCATTTCTGGAGCCCTGATTATAACGATGCGTTTCTATTCAAAGCTGCCAAAATTAATTTGCTCTTCAGTTCTCATTATTGACAGTCCAATTTATGGAGTGTGACTTCCAGTAGAAAAAATGGAAAGAGGAGGAGGAGGAGTGAGAACACGCAATTATAATGAGAAGCCTCTTTTGATACGTATTATTGGCATCCCGAGTTCAAGTCAGTTTGAGACGATAATTAGGTCTTTAACACTTTTTACATTTTCATGCTCCCAGTTTCTCGAGTTAAAACTAATACTTAACATGAACTCTCTCAAAACACCTGCCACCACTGCAGTTTTTATACCACAGATACTACACAGGGCCTACTTCCTAGGTTACTCAACACTATAAGGCGTGTTTTTATTTCCACTTCCATTTGCGCTACTAGCACACACACAAAGACGTAGTAGATGACTTACCTTTTTATAATCGTCCGATGCGGTATAACCTTATCCATTATTGAAGCACACTTTGGTAATTTTCTTATGTAAAGTTTACCACGACCATTTTCAAACAATCAACACTCTTTGATTACGCAACATGATCCGCGTGCATCTGAGATATACAAAGCAAATACTGATAATCACGTGCCGCAGTAAACAAATCGCAAAAGCTGTACGCACGGAAAACTTTCATTTATCTGACGGTCGTGCTGACACACTTATTACGCACAAGACAGCAGTAGGAAAAAATTACGTATTTATTTGTTGAACTTTCACAACGGCGTTACACACTTACAAAATAAAACCGAGATGAACAGTAAATATGCCGTTTGTTTCACAATTCAAAAGGCCTCTCGTGTCAGGGCAAGAACGGCCTACTGGATGTAACCCTTCAAACACGAGCAGCATGATCACGACAACAAACTTTAGAAAAAGAGCTATCCCTGTAACAGAACACCCGAAAATATTCCTGCACCGTTACTGAATACGCAATACTGTTAAGAGCTCAAAAAGCCAACTACACCAACGAATTCAACCAGCAGGGACACGAATCGAACGAAGACTGACTTTCCCGCGTTCAGCGTGCGAAGCTTCAAATCCCCGCCGATCCATGGCGCGCCAGTCACAAGTACAATCCAAACAACAATTATTGGCCCGTCACATATATTTCTAAAACAAAAGGGAATAATTGGCGATTTGCATAAGACTTGATTTCGGATTTCAGTCATCTTCGAGGAGACCCTTTAAGTTATGCAACTGTAGGGAATTAAACAAACGACATATACAGTAATCCACTGTGACCGGCAATGGTCTTCAGGAACGTAACCCCGCGGTTGGGGAAGGATTCTAATTAAACCCAATATGCATAAACGTAAGAACAAAAATTGTTGGTCTGGTTCACTGATTGATTAATAGGTTATATTACAACTACGACAAACGATAGATGAGACAATGCAGTGACGGTTTCACATGAGATATACACAGACCGAAATCAGGCAAATTTGGTTGACTTACAGCCCCAAAAATTTGTAGAACACCCAAAGTTATGACAATCCCAGTCTCGTGAAAAGTATCTTTGAAATGAGTCACTGTATTATATTTTAATTTCAGTGAGCGTTAAAACTGTAACAGCAACAAATTGTAGCGATTTTCTGACTATCATGTTTTACTTGCACTGCATCCAAACAAAGGACCTATTTATTGTGCTGAGTCAGTACAGCAATATAAATTAACACAGAATCTACATTTTATGTGTGGTAAAAACACTTTTCTTCTGCTCTTCATGTATTCATTATGAATCCCAACCTGTATCATCTGCTCAGATGTTTTTGTAATTTTCCACATTTTATTACCAAACTTGTGTTTCAAATACTATGTGATTGCCTCCTTGATGGTTTGTGTGGTTTCGACATTCATATTATTGCATATACACTGCACCCAAGACCATTAGTTCCAAGTGTCTAAGGAAGCCTGTAGGTCTGTCACATTCTGAGGAATATGTCAACAAAATAGGCATGAATTTGGTAATTTAAGACAGTACATAAACAGAAACATTGTTTTATACATCTTGTGGTGATTTAATTACATAAACTATAGTCATTAAATATGTAATTCTAGAATTGGCTGAAAATATAGCTTGTATGGGGGAGAAATCATACAAAACATTGATTCAGAAAGTTTATATATATATATATATAAGTCAACTGAAAGACAAAAGATGGGAAGTTAGCACTAAAGTGGTTCTTAGGTAGCTACATTTTGAGGCTGGAAGGTGGATGGAGCTGGCTCAGAGCCTTGTCCAATGGTATGGATTGGTAATGGGAGGGTGGGAGGAAAGGTACATTTAACATATGAGATACTTTCATGCTAGCAAGTCAATGCAGCACTCTATACAGTACAGATTTGTGTTTGGAATGTACTTGATTTGAATCATGGCTAGGTTTCACATGTTTCATCAGTCTCTCCAGACGAATGCAGGGAGAAGCTCTAATATCTTCAAATAGTTGAGGTACAAAGTTGGAACTCTCACAAAAGTAGACCACCTACAGGAAGTGGTGACCCTGCCTTATGCGAAATCCAAGTCCTATTGACCTGGCAGGAAGCATCTTCCAAGGACCTCTTCCCTGTATTATGTGATGGATGGAAAGGATTTACCCATGGCAGGCAACATGCCTAAGGGAACAAAACCCTTTATAAAAACCTTGGTCCTCTAAGATATGGGGTTTTGCAACAGGCTGGTAACCTGTAGACAACAATGATCTTAATATAGTCCTCGAGTCTTCTAAATCCTTACTTACCATCTCCAATGCAGATTCAATTACATGTGTGAAAATAAACGTAACAATTATTTGCCAAATGCAAAGGAATTTGATTAAATATGGGGTGCCCAACAAGCTATAGCAACATACTACTGTTTGAAAAGTTAAAGGTGGTTTAGCTTCTGTATATTATAATATTAAATTATTTTCACATCTACACCTATGTTGTAATAGTCTCTTCCCTTCGAGTTTTCCAACTAAAACTTTAAATGCTTTTCTCATCTCCCATATTTGTGCAATATGTCCCGACCACTTCATCTTCCTAAATGTCACACAGATTTTCTCCATCTGCCTGTTAACTCCTTTTTTATTACAAATCACTTTACTGACTGAGCAATTTGACTGAAACATAAGCTAGTAAAAATTCCAAATATGGTACAATGATAACTTTCAGGCTGAATACAATCAGTATCTTAGCAATCAGCCTGTGAGGAAGGTAGAGTACAATATAGGGAATGAACAAAAGCAGAGATGTAAAAATTGGGGGGTTATGTTGTTTTAAGCTCATACTTATGAGATTTACATGAACAGGGACCGCCAGCTGAATCCTGCACATCCTGTCAAATAAATCTGTGGCGGGAAGTAAATAAAACTGTCACTCTACTGAACATTATATTGACACAGTTTTACTCAAGCGATTCATGTCCATTCCAGGTTCCCTGTCTGTGCACATACATGCATTCAGGAAGTCACATCTATCTGTCTACGTACTTCATCTCTGAAACTACGCAATTGTCTTGATACATTCAACCCTGCTCAGTCTACATTATATCTGCCAGGCAAATTTAAATTAGGTTCATATCGGTCCAATATGGGATTTTGAGTCCTCACAGCGGTATCAAATTAAAGTCTTCCAGGATATGACGCTCGTTACGTAGTTTGGTAGATGGGTACCACCAGTTCAAAGCAGCAGGTTACTCTTCTACCCTGAAGATGGTGGTAACATGTTCCTCCAAAACATTGGCACCCAACCACAAAAATACATGGTGTCACGCTTCAAGGACCATAATACTGGTTGCACGAAACTCAAATCAAGCTCTTAAATTCCTCAAAAACATTTCAACACATGAAAATGCATGGTACATGATCCAACATATAGGTATCTTTAAAATGTATCCCACAACTGTTACTTGTAATCTCTTCTTGATACCATATATATTTAAGAGAATAAGAGGAAAATAGTTCTTATTCTATGATATGTGCTTTATGACTAGTTTTGTAATGATACATTCATAACTGAAATAAATGGACATCTTATATATGAATGAATGAATGAATGAATGAATGAATGAATGTATAAGGGGTGGGCCTTCTTGGCCTTTGCACCACGACCACAGTGATCTATTGTGCCTCCCCTTCTGATTATCCCCTCAACAATCCTGCGCTTCGAATGAAGCGTAGGATTTTGTACGTGGGGACGTCAAAATGGTCACTTGGTTCCATGAAATATTGACCCAAGTGACACACTCTTAAATAAGCTAAGGCCTCACATTCGCACAGGATACGTGTGGCTGATTCATTTTCTTCTTGACACCTCTCACAAGTGGGACTATCACTTAGTCCCAGTTCGAAGAGGTGTCCTTTAAGGTGACAGTGTCCTGTAAGTAGTCCCACCACCCACTGTAGCTGGTTCCTGTTTGACTTCAACAGTTCTTTCGCTCTTTTAGTAGAGGGTCCTCGTATGAGTCCCTTTGCTTGCCTGAGTCCAGTCAAAGATCCCCAGCATTTCTTGTGATTCATATTTGTCCAGTTCAATTGCCTTTCTGGTGACTCCTATAGAGATGCCACAGGCTGGTTCAGGTCCTATGAACAGATGTTCAGCTCCAGTCTTGGCCAATTGGTCTGCTATTTCGTTTCCAGCAATACCCTCATGCCCCGGCACCCATATCAGTTGTACCCTGCTATGTTTGGCCAGTTCCATGAGAGTTTGGTGGCAATCCCAGACCAATTCTGAGTTGATCTGGTGTTTGTCAAGCGCTTTAAGTGCAGCTTGGCTGTCAGATAGAATGTAGACGTTCCTATTTCTGTAGTTCCTATCTAGATTCTCCATAATACATGCCTTAATGGCATATACTTCTGCCTGGAATACTGTCATGTACTGCTCAAGGCTGAAACTAGGTTTTTGCCTCATGCCATTGCAGAACACACCAGCTCCATTGCCCTTATTTATCTTGGAACCATCTGTATACCAGAGCAGTCCCCCTTTTCTATCGGGACAAAACCCATCTTCCCATTCACTCCTGTCAGGCAATCTGACTGTGAAGGGTTTTTCATATACATGTCTCAGTATAATTTTGTCAGAGCCATTTTGTAATGTGGTTTTTTTTTATGTCCTGAGTTATGTATGCATGGGCGAAACCATCGAATCTAGGTTTCCATTGATCACTGCACTGGGGATGGTAGATTCCTGCCCTGGCCTCTGCCTCCAACTGTAGATGCAGTGGGGGGAGTCCAAGGAGTGTCTCCAGTGCAGCTGTTGGAGATGTTTGAATTGCTCCTGTGATACCCAAACAAGCCAACCTTTGCAATTTGCTGAGTTCTGCCTTGCTTGTCTTGAGTTTAACTCTGGGCCACCATACTGTGGCACCGTATGTAATTATGGGTCTTACAACCGCAGTATATATCCAGTGCACAACGGGCAGCTGCAGTCCCCAAGTTTTACCAAACATGCTTCTGCATGTCCAAAAAGCCTTATAGGCTTTATTGATGACCGTGACCAGCTGCTTTTTCCATATCAGTTCCTTGTCTAATTCTAGACCAAGGTACTTGACATCACTGGAGAGGTGGATCGTCTTATTGAAGAGGGTCGGTTCCTTAAGGCCCTTTATATTTCTCTTCCCAGTAAACGGTATAATTACTGTCTTATTAGGATTGATGGAAAGGCTGGTTCTTTCACACCATCGTTGGAACATGTACAGAGCTGTTTGAAGACGCTCTGATACTGTCGAAAGGAGATATCAGGACTAAGAAAGTATGTAAAACAGCAAAGGACATCTTTCCATTTTTTAATTATAAAATACAAAAAGAGGGTATGATTTGGTTCATTCTGGTCCATCACACTAGCAATATTATAAAAGGTTATCAACTCCATCCAGTGTGATTGATAAATGTCCTTCTGAATATGGTCTCTCAGACTGAAACATGTCAAGATTACAATAAAAGATTACAAAGGAGAGAAAAACATTGATCAATCATACTGGACGGAGTTGATGACCTTTTATAACATGAATAGGGTGCCTAGTAAATGGGACACATCAGGGATGTAAGATATGGGGACATAAGTGGACTGATGAATAAATAGGTTTTTTTTTTGTTGTTATTTAATAATTTTGAAAGTAAGGGTGACTGTGAATGATGTATCGCAAAGGACTCCTGATATAACCCGGACAATAAAATAAATTTTCACTGCTTTGAATATCTCACATGTCACCTGATTGACAAACAAAAGAAAATGTTACAGTTCAGTACCGTGAGGGACGAGTTTGAGGCTTGAAAGTCCATGGTACAACATTCTCAAAATTGTCAAATAATATATATTTAATGAATACAGTTGTTACAGCATGTTTGGAAAACTGCAAAGAACTATTGTATACACACACCCAGTCTTATATAAGTTATCTACAATGCTCTATAGCAAAACCAACAGTCATTAATTGGTCACATAACTTTTCACAAAAAGTCATGACTTCTAATTAACATTAGTGGTGCCAACCTGCTGTTCACTGTAATCTACAGGCACTCTCTTTGTACTACATTCACAATATTATTGTTCATCAATGCTTGAAATGCAAAAGGTAAGAACAGGCACATTTCATATAAAGTCCTTCTACTATTTGGCTATCATCTTGAAAACAAAAAGACCCATTAAAAAGTGTATCTAAGAAAAAACAGAATTTACAAATTCTATCTAAAACATACTTCAACCTGTACAACACTGCAATATATTTAAAACACAAAAATAGGCCCTGATATAAGGAATATATCAAATTTGGTATCAAAATCCGATTTCGTTGAGAATTGTAAACCTACAACTTTGTCAAAATAGATTTAATCAGAACAGAATTATTATATGTATGTAGACAAACACATGTAGAAGAGATATTAGGCACTTATGTGTTGTTATGAAATGTGCCTATGAAAGTAATAACAGTGTCTTTTCTTAGGTACCAATAGCTGTATAATGACTTAACCATACAAACAGCATTTATATCGTCTCACCATTCACTGGCCAGTAAACAACCATTTTTGTTCACGTGAAATATATACATAAAGCTATAAGCAAGCATTTCACTAACATGTACTACTAAAAGAAATACACAAGGTAAGGTAGTGCTGACCCTGTGCTTAATTAAGCACCACACAATGAAAACAGATGGGGGAGTGGAAGCATAGCTCCATGTATCCTAAATCTTGGCAAAAGATGAAGTTCAGTGATCAGCTTTGTGCCCCAGAGCCTGCCTGGAAGCTGTGAAGAAGAGAAATACCTCCTGCCCACTGGGAATCACACTTGGATTCTGTGGCTCTCCCACCCATAGCCCATCACCATACCGACTGAGCTATCCTGGTTCCTGTTAAAGAAATACATAATTAATAAAAATGAAGTACATATGATTCTGAATGATCTAATTATCCTACAACTGCTGTAATAGTCTCAACACAAAAGACACAACTATAAAACATTGTTTTCCAATTTGTAAGCAACTTAGTTTCCAAGATGACACACAGAGTTGCTTCTAACTGGATCCAGACAGTTCCTGGAAGATGGACTGACCATGAAAGCGTTCAACCATGGCCCCCTAGATCTCCAGATCTGATTCCTATGGGGCCTTTTCTTTATTTTCCACATGATTATGTTAAAATTCATGTCTATATTCCATTCTTAACAACTGGGCCTGAGAGCCTTGAACTCTGAAGCAGTCATATAGTAAGTACTGAAAAAGAAACCATGCAAACCTTCTGGAACAATTCCTATATCATCTGGATGCTGTCAGAATTACCAGTCAAATTAATAATGAGTATCTATGAAGTTAAACGTTATTTGTTACATTTGTTCATTCACTTCATCAATCATTTGATCATATTATATTTTACTTGAGCCAACACGGAACCTAATGAATAAAAACTGTTACAATATAGAATAAGAGCACAAGAGTTCTCCAAGAAACATACTGCATCTTTAACACAAAAAAGTATACCTCTTTTATACTTCTTTTAACATAATGTTAGGCAAACCCTGTGGTAACCTACATAACATGGAGGCATAAAGTAGGCATGGAGTGGTAACTTCATGCATTATTAAACCCCACACTAAATTGAGGTGATCGAAAAGAATGCTGATTGGTCAAGGACCAATTTGAATGCAGTGGTTCCAATGCCCTTCCCAGAAATTAAACCTTGGTAATTTTGTCTAGAAGTTGTATGTATATTAAAGACATATTAATGAGAGTCATCTTAGGATGATGCTATTACTGTCCCCATATTATAAGTTCATAAGATGTCATACTGGAATCATTGATGATATATAATTAATAATGAGTAAACAGGATTAGATTCATGCACCCCAGGCATTTCACATGACAGACAGGCAAATACTAGTCTCTATCTCTGAGGAGATCCAGAGTGTAGGACTAGAATTGAAAAAATTTCCAATGAAGTCATTTTTGCAAAGAATATAACTGGTAACACATTCAGAGTCTGTGGTTTGCACTGAAACACAAGGACAATTCAATACTGATACCACATTTGGTTATTTCAGTGTGTGGTAAGGAAGAGTGTTAAGAGCTCTTATTGTAAAATGGTACAAAACTGTGTTCACACCTTACAGGTATCCTGATTCTTTCCTTCTCTCTCTCTAAACTTTCACTCTTCTTCAGAAATTTCCATTATTGAAAACTGCTTCAATTTGGGCTATCAAATTAAATTTAGTGTAAAATGCTTCTACTATTAAGTTCCTAAACCTATACAATCCAACAATACCTATACAACGCACACAGCCACAAATGGACACAACACAAGGCACAGTATACACAAAATATAGGAAGAACAACTCCCATAGCAGAAGAATGATATAATACGCGAGTTTGAAATACGACGTGTATGATGATAAATCTTAACAAATTTTAATATATAAATTTTATTATAGTACATGACGAACATACATTTTAAATCATTTTATAAACGATACATGATGGCGAGCAGTGCAATAATTAACATAAATAACACACCAGAGGATGGCACAGTGATGCCAAAACATGTAGTGAAGTGACAAGTGAGACTGTGTGCACTAGAAGACGGTCGATACATACACATCACGTATACAATCCCACTTGCTTTCCAAAACACTAAAGATCAAGCTTAATAAAAATATAGCATGGGTGTGAAACATGGTCCCTTACTTTTAAACAAAAATATTAATTATAAGTGTTTAAAACAAAGAAACAGGAGTTGTTAATATGTATCCCATTTTTCAGGAAAAGAAGACTGAAAACTATTTTTTCAATAAGGGTGAAAGAAAATCCAAGTTCTCAGTTTTTTTTTTTTGGATACACTGACCTTTTACAGCCTACAGCCTCTACGACAGTGCCAAAGACATCTGCATTACCACTTTAGATGTGATCCAACCTCAGTTTTTATACTAATTTCTTCTTTTCCATTTTCATACTCCTGCCTCTACCAGCCCACACCTCTCCACATTCCACACCCTCATTATTATTTGTCATGGTGTGGATGATCTGTATATATTTTATAACCACTGATACATCTCCAACCCCTTTTTGATTTCCATCCTGTGTAATATTTTTAGATGTGATGCATAGACCTACAGAAAATGTGCTGAGGCCTGTTGCTAGGAATTCCATTGCAGACCACTCACTGCCATTCATGCCAATCCTTTGCTCTTCCAAAATTCTCTATCATATCTAAGAGATGATCCAGGTGTCATGTTATGGCATTTCATCGTCTCTTACCACAAGTAAGCCTTAAATTTCAAAATATCCTAATTTTAACATCTGTACTGTCATTAACAACAGAAAACTGGTTTAATGTTTAAAAATTCTGTTGAATTTCTCTTTATGATTATAAAACTGTAGGCTTAGTCAGGGACTGGCTATGGGACAGACAACCACAGACTGATTCCTGGAATGGGAAGAGGCTTCTTGCTTTGCCACTAAACTGACACTAGTTATGGGGCCCGCTTGGCCTACAGCTAAATGGATACCACATGCTATTTACACAGAGTAAAACCAACCAGAACGGCTCATCACTTACTAGTATATTATGCCAAAGCCTAGACTGCCTATCTCCATGCCCCTTATATGCCACCACAGTGTGTTTGCTTTGGAAATCAGAACACACACCATGACACTGTATTCTTTGAAATCAACATACAACACCTATATATATGAAGGATCTTACAATATCATCCTGCATTTTCCTCTAATAACACTAGTTACAATGGTTCCATCAAATATACATCAATATTAATAAAGATAGAGTTTTCACTTGATTTAAAAGATTTTAATTTTCTTAATCAGGAGTTCATGTAGGGCATAGAACGATCACAGATGTCTGTTCATCCACTAAATGAATTTGTATACACTCTAAAGTATTGTTATAAAAATGGTTACCTTGTACTTACTTCAAAGGAACCATTAGAAAGAAGCCCCCCCCCCAAAAATAACTATGAGATGAACATAACAATGTAACTGTATTGTAAAAGCTGTCAGAAAAATAATTATACAGCAAATGGAAAACATTTATCATGAAGAGGTAAGGGAGTCACACACCCACTGCTTCCATCACTATGCAACGCTCAGTAAACACCCCTCTCCATTACGTTGTGACGTCTGCAGAGACTATTGCTAGGTAATCAGTAAACACAGTGACTACACAACAGGGAAGCGAGGTGCATTTTCCACTGTCCGGCTGAGGGTTTATAAGAGAAACCAGAATGCCTGAGGAGTTCAGTGGAAGTCTAGCAGTCACCGAGTGCAGCTGCAGTCTAGCATTCGCTGGAGTTAGTTGAGCTTTAGCAGTCGGTTTCCAGCCTTCAGAGAGTTACTAGCATTCAGTATGAGTTGAAGTCCAGCACCTACAAGTTGAGTTGTATCAAGTGAATGGGAGTACAGCAGCAGAAGTAATTGTGATATTGTGAACTGTGTAAGTGTAAGAGCGAGTGTGGAATAAATTCACTAGATTCAAACCGGCATGAAGTTCTTTGTCGCATGACAAACGACCAACACGTGACAGTACATTAATACAACTATCTTGTTTCTGGACATTATCCATCATCCTACTTTTATTTAAAACACAAAGTTTCATAGACTGGGCCCAATCAACAGAGCTAGTGCCTATCTCCAGACATCTGCACCAACACAAGATAGGGTATGCAAACCAAGCACAGCAAGAATTAAGACAAACATTAAAAAACACATGAGGTCTGGCACCAAGAGTATGATCAGAATAGATGTCATCACTAGCGAGATAAATTCCCTGTATGGTACCAACATAAACATACATGTGGAGTTTTTGTGATGTTTATAATGTTTGTTTTAACGTTTGCAGATGGTTTGTGCTGTGCTTGGTTAGTATACCCTATCTTGTGTTGGTGCAGGAGTCCAGAGACAGGGATTAGTTTTATCGACTGGGCCCAACAGAGTAGGGTCCGCCTGAAGAAGAAAAACGTTGTTTTAAATAAAAACAGGACAATGCATAATATCCATAAACACAAGAGATGTAGATTGTTACTAAACTGAAATCCAGGTGAAATAACACACACTACCTATCAGAAGAAACCTGGAAGTTAAAGAAGATGGGAGGATAACATTCGTATGAATCTTATTAAGATATGTTGTTACAATAAGTGGATGGAATTGGATTGGTATTGTGTCCAATGATGAGCTTTGAAAGTAACAACACTGGGCTTTGGCTCTATACTGCAAAGAAGTTAGTTAAATAGAAAGAGCGGTCATTAAGCTGGTGAATATACATATATTTGGCTTAACAATGAATCCTTAAGATACTGGGGGATAAAAATTGACAAAGGAATGAAGAAAAAGTCTGCACTGCATCTTGCTGATCTCTGCTTGGAAGACCAGTGCTTTACTCCATATCATCACTTCTCCAATTCACTGTTGCAGATTTTAAATCTTGAATGCTACAGGACTATTCACTTCAAGAAGGCCTAAAATCAATGGTTATAATACATGAAACAATTTACCACTGAAAATAAAACATGGCAGCACCGTGTACGTCAATGTGACTCCTTGTGTTGAACAGCAGAACAATGTATACAACTGAGCAACATGCTTTTATCATATGCTTATACTGAATTATGGGATCACTCAGTGTCAAGCAGCTTTAAGAAACCATTTCTGTACTGCAGCACCATCAAAGAATGTTATCCTGAAAACTGGTGACTAAGAAACCCTGGAGACTCAGCACGAAACAGGTTGGCCTGCAATGGCCAGTAACATGGTTCAGGATGGGCAGTAGTGGCTGCTGACTTCACCTGCAAAGTCACTGCGTCATCTGTTGCAGAAGGCTGGCGAGTCTTATTCATCATGGCAAGAAGAAAAAAGAAAAAAGAAAAGAAGAAGAAAAAATGTATTCACCTGTATTGTGGCATTATTGTCCAGGAACTCCAGCCTCCTGATATTCAGTAAAGAGTGGCTCACTGCCAATGGTTTCAAATATTTGTTGTCCAAAACTCCAATATCTTGGACATGATGTGGTTCTCTGATGAAGCTCGACTTCAACTTCTGGGATATCAACTCACAGAAAAACATATGAAGTGTTGCAAATCCTCAAGCCATTCACTAGTAGTCCCTCCATCCATAGAATGAGAGGGTGTAGTGTGCTCTATGATGTGCCCAAATAACTGACCTTATTTTCTTCCACATGACCATCAACAATTATGTCCACCTCAACATTTTCCAAGAATTTCTAAATCAGCGGGATGGCCAGGAACTGACACTCAGTTAGGTCCAGAGAGAGGGACTGGGCCCAACTGAGTAGGTTTTACCTGAAGACGGAGACAGAATCCAGTCCCTGAAACACTGTCTAAGATAAAAAAGGGATGATGAATAATGTCCAGAAACATACTGTCATGTGTTGGGTATGTCACGCGACAAATAACTTAACATGGGTCTCAGATTTAGCGAATCCTTATTGGACACTCACTCTTACACACCTTACAATTATTACCACTTGCAGTATCACCTGACTTCTGGCCCAGTACTCCAATACTCATCTCAACTATCCTTGGCCATGGCTGGATCTCAACTGTCTCTGGCGGCGGTTATCCCAAGATTGTCTCGTTCTCAATACTACATGCTCTGTACATGTCGTAAGCTCTGTTTATAAAGGGGTTATGCGGACCGGATACCAGACATCATTTCTCGCGGTTCCGTTACCACTGTTCAGGCAGTCCGTTGTTACGGGGACGTTCCTTACAGATTACACTGATAACGTGTCTCGTCTCATCCATTGTTACTCAAAGACAATTCGTTGCTACAATTTGTCACTGCGGGAACTCCACAATTACCACATATTCGTTGTCATGGAAGTGTCCGTTCCTATTGTAGCAGTAATGGGCGTCACGTAACGCGTCACACTGCTCCCTTCTAAAGGTTGTTCATCCCCGAACACTCAGTTATATTCAGCAAGATGAAGCAATGTGTCACACATCTAGCCAAGCCTCGAAAAATATCAAGTTTCTCTGAAGACAGGATTATTCTGAAAGCAGTTTGGCCACCCCAGTCTTTCTAAGGGCCCAGTTAAGTAGGTGTCTTCCTTTCTCACCTGAAGACGGAAACAGATCCAGTTTCCGAAATGTCGTGTGCTCTATTATCTAGAATTCCGAACGATGGAAAAAGTCCAAAACCCCAGTAATTCTGTGTCATCCACCATCGTCAGAACCCTTTAGAATCTACTATGTGGGTTGTATAAACATTTCAGAAAACCCTGAAGTCTCCCACCTCGAGGTGAAGTGACTACCCACTGACTCCTACTGATATTTACAGAAAGAGCTGAGTGGCTAGTGAAGACTGAACTGTTTTAATGCATCATATGGTACCCAACAAGGTGTGGAAGAGAAAGAGAGACCTTGAAAGGGCCAATTATTTTATGGGAGGGCTAGTGGGGAAAGAAGGGGCCAAGGGGAGAATAAAAAACATTGGCAAATATAATTAAGAGATAATTAGCTGTAGGAGAAGAGGATCAAAGCATGAATGTGGACAGATGCCTCATGCAGTGCACTGAAACCTGCAAACTGTGCAAAGTTGAGGCATTCTCCCAGCCTGTGAATCAGTGCGTCTACATGTCACAATATTATATCACACTGTGTTCAAGTCACCCATTCTCTTCATTGAGGCCTATTCATGCACAAGTTGGTATGTAACAGGGCCTTGAGAAGAGTACAAACATTAAGCCAATTTAGTCAGACCAGTGAGGCTACCAATACAGACTGCAATGTGTAATTGATCTCCTTCATTAGATGGTGAACATGGCTTTTATCATTACTGTTTATACTGCCTTCAATTAAGGTCTTGCTTTATCTCCCTGACCTCTGCCTATCTGGCAAGAATGAGAGAATTCACTTCTGAAGATGGGAAAGTCTCTGTTTATTCCTTACAATGATGATAGCAGGAAGAAGGACCTACAGTTTAACATGCACTGTGACATAACACTGAGGCCCTGACATTTCCCACATTTACTGAGTATGGAAGAAGAAATGCATAACAAAAACCCAGAGTGGAACTGACCAGTCTTGAACCTGAGCCTTTTGGTGTTCTACACTAGACCACCTAGTCCCCACTTGTAGACAAATTTATGACCCATCTCTTTAACTGTTTTCTGTCTATACCACTATTGGAGTCTGAGCTCTGTATAGTTTTACTATGCAACTCTGTTAACACTTTTCAATAAATATTCTGTAACTTCAGACACCCTGTATGCAAATACTATTTATTTCTTAAACCTTCTTAACCCTCTGTTTTGATCTGATTATTCTACTAGTTCAGTAGTAACCCGTATACCTTTTCACCCAGGTTTATACATTTGGTACATATTCATGCATCTTCTCAGTAATACAAATTTACCCAGTTTGGAAATCAGGGCCAAAAGGATAGGCAGCCACATTAACAAACCTCCAAAGTCTCATGCGTACTGTGTCACTCCGAAGTGGTGGTAATCGATCTCCTACTCACAGTAGTGGATCCCACTGACAAGTTCCGCTTCTTTTTCTCATCACTTGAATCACCAGTGTCAAAACCTGAGTCATCCTGATCACCACTTCCTGGTGACATTATATGACTGTTCTTACTTTCTGCGGTGTGCTTTGTGAGAGGAAGACAGAACTGGGTACTTGACAGGTCTGGTTTGTAGACTGTGCATGGATGATGATTGACTGTCTCCAATATGCAGTTCATAAGGCTGTCAAAGAAGTTTGGGTAGCCATCATAACCTGAGAAGTAAGGGCATGCTGTTAAAATGCAACCTAGCTCCTGACTGACTAATGAGTATGAGTAAAATACAAAATGTTCTAAACTGAATCTCTTGCAGCCACATACTGAATAATCATGCCCTGTCCCCTATGCTGGTGAGATCTATCTGTATGGCAAGTACATTTCAGTCTGTCAGTCTGAGCCATAGCTGCCGTCAGTAGCTAATCAGTTTGAAACAGGGTGTTACATCTTCCCATATACATTTTTATTTTCACATACAGTTTCTGATGCATTCTTCTAATGCACCTACTGTCCTACACACTGTTGAATACATTTACGTATATTTGTTATTTTGTTAACGCTCTCTTCCTATCTCTGCTTGGTAAAGTAGTGATACTCTTAGCCTACCGTTGTCTTAATTAGATTGAAATTATTATGCTCTGTGTGCAGGTAAATGGCATTTTATTCTCTAGTAAGTAGTAGAGGCACCCTGACTACATGGGGAGTATAACACCAACAATGGTCCAGAGATGACTAGCTTTGCAGTCCTTCTTGTTAACTTGGTAGTAACTGTGTATGAAGGCAGTGTGAAAGCTTCAATTCTATATGAGCTTACATCTCTCAATACAAATAAAACTGATATATCACATTAAATACAGATCTGATTAAGATCTACAACTTTTATTTGGAACATTTTTCACTGCACAGTATTTCATCCTTTGACTGTCAAGCCTCACCACAGAATTACCTCCTAGAAATGCCAAGGCTGTTTGGAGGCAAATGCTGTTGTGTGCAAAAACCCATAATACTTCCACAGATTACCTTTAAATGATCACAGATTTATACAGCATGAAAATCTGCTCTTTCCTCCAAACATTGGTACCTAGCACTTGATACCACCTACTGAGATGAATGTGATTGACATTGAGTCAGTCTCTTTGGTTCTTGCAATTTTAACCAAGTACAGTAAGTCAATCCAATGGGCTCATGGCATACAACAGGTTAAAGACATGAAACCAGACATAATTTCTCACTACTATATATGTGGTGCAATCCAAAAGTCCCTGAAATATATTAATAAAAACTATTATGTCTTATCGGGATCTTATTCTGCACCATCACCTTCACAGTAGTCCCCTTGGGAGCGCATATACTGATCCAAGCATTTCTGCCACTTTTGAAGTACATCCTGGTAGTCTATCTTTGTTAGTGTGTTTAGTACTGTCTGCATTTCCACTTGAATTTCCTCAACTGTATCAAATCTTTGCCCCTTCAACTTGATTATCATCTTGGGGAAGAGAAAGAAGTTGCATGGAGCTAAGTCTGGTGAGTACGGTGCGTGGGGAACAACTGCCATCTTGTTCTTAGCAAAAAATTCCTGCACAATGTAAGCCGTATGTGGTCGTACGTTGTCATGGTGGAGTACCCAGTCATTCGTGCGCCACTTCTCTGGACGTTTTCTCCTCATGTCCTCCCTCAAACGCCTTAGAACATCGCAATAGAACTCTTTACTGACTGTCTGACCAGGAGGGAAGAATTCCGTAAGTATAGATAAAACAGATCAACATGGACTTAATGTTGCTCTTGACTTGTCAAGCTTTTTTTTTGGGGGGGGGCAAGGTGAAGAAGGGCTCTTCCATTGCAACGATTGCTGCTTACTTTCAGGGTCGTAGCCATAAACACAACTTTCTTCACCAGTGACAACCTTCGAAAGAAAGTTCGGATCCTCTTGAAGCTGTTGTTGAAGTTCCCTGCAGACTTCCAAGTGATGCTGCTTCTGTTCATTTTGCAGCAGTTTTCGCCGCAACCCTCCTCATGTTCAGTTCCTCTGACAAAATTTGTTGACATGTGCCATAACTTAGACCCAAGGTGTTACAGAGGTCTTGGATGGTCAGTCTACGATCTTGCAGAATCAGATCCCTAACTTTCGTGACATTTTCTGGTGTGGTGCCCGTTGATAGCCGTCCTGAACGATCGTCATCATCAGTCAATGTTCGGCCATTTTTGTGTCTGGCCTAAACTGTTGTCACCAAAAGCTTGCTTCAACATTTGGTGCATTTCTGCAGCAGTTTTCCCAAGTTTAAAACAAAACTTTATACAGACACACTGCTCTCTCAGGTCAGCCATCGCAAAACTGCAAACTCACGGGAACACAACAATGGAAATATGTTCACCAACAATAAACCCAACAACTCAACTTGATGCCGCTTGCCACACTGATGCAAGAAGGGTGTGTGGGGAGACACAGTGGTATGTCGATGTACTCATAATCATTCGTGTGCAAAATTCAAATTTTGGGAACTTTTCGATTGCACCATGTAGATTCCATCAAACACAACTTTGTACAACTGTACTAAATGCATGTGCTTTCTTTACTGTGACATGCTGTTGCCTGTCTGGCTATCATCAGGCTTTATGACTGGGCAGTAACATAGCTTTATGCACAAAAATAAAATTCAGGAGTTACTGTGAAAAAAGGACTATAACTGAGCAAAAAGCAAATAAAGACAGCACAGAAATCATTGTGGTAAAATGTAAGACAGTGACAAAATGAAGATCTGCCAAAGTTCAATTGCCCTCTTTTTCTTGGGTCATTTAAAATGCCAGGTGTACTACAAAATCTATGTAACATCTTTTGGGAACAAAAAGTTGAACTGGGAAGGGCATAAAACAATGCACTCACAAAGGAGTGCTAACCAGTATTCCACAATATTCTGTAAGGAAAACAACAAGGATAATGATGATGATATGAGGTTCAGTACATGCTTAAAAATATGATCATCATGCATCACCTGGATATGCATTGATATCTATGATGCCATATCGCCCGCTGCCATTTTCAATAATCACATCAATTCCCAATAATGACATTCCAAGCTCCTTCCTTAATGTGCAGACAATTCGTTGTAGTTTTGCAGGATCAGGGCGAGAAGGCAATATCATCTTGTCACTCGGATCCAGAATACTTAGACTGGATGTAGAATCTGCTTTGGAAACATCATGACTATCAAAGAAGATTGTCTCACGGTCTGAAACAGGGAACAAATATGTCATACATTAATGCATTATCATCATCAGTAGCAGCAACACAGCCCTTTCCAAGACAGCCTTCCTTAGAAGATTCTGCCAGGCTTGTCTATTCTGTCATGAATTAGACCATCTGGTTGTAACTTCTTTGGATTTTGCAACAGTAATTTTTTTACACAGCATGGTCAGCCTTGAGTACGACTCCCTACCTGGAGGACCAAGTATCTGTATTTATCTCCCCCAGTGATAAGGTGGCCCAGTTATAACCCCAGGCACCAGGTTCCCTTTAAGAAACAAGAGAAGCATGAAATATAATTTACAGCAGAAAGAATGCACAAAAGTGGAACCTGGAATAATATTCAACCTACCTAGTGTCCAGAAACTAATTCCTACTTTTAATTTAACACAAAGTTGGACAGTTTATATGTGGTCTGAGCATTATCATCATACTGTCCCCCCCAGCCTGGCCAAATTTTCCTTTGTCTCATGTAAAATATCCATTGCACTACAGCAGTAAAGTCGGTCTACTATTTCAAGAAGGGTTCATCATTTTCAGTTGAAAATGTGGGCAATAAATCTTCATTACAAAGTTACCACATTCTATTTTCAAAATATTTCTGGTACTCATATGCCAGACATAAATTCAAACATTCTGGTTAATGCTTTTCTCACCAGCAGGCATGGAGTACATATGGGGGATGCTGACAATGATCACATATTATGTACAAATACAGTATTATTAATTTATATTAATATACTGTTTCACTTTTACTGGAGAACATTTTATAATTCTGTTTCAGAAATAATACTTCTCTAATACGTTTCACTTCATTTTGAAGTACTAATCCATTATTATGTTTCAGCATTGTGTCTGCTAAAGGTACACCAATTTCTGAAAACCCATAAATTCTGCCACAAAGTTCTTCTTCTGACAGTTTCAACATAGTAAATACTCCATTCTTTGACTACAACTCCAGAAGACACATGACTTCTTAATGGTCTCCAAGCAATGTCATCATTACTGGCAATTATTCATTGACTGCAGATACTCTTTTCAATTGCTCTCAGTCACACTGAGTTCATTTGTCCTTCTGCTCAGTCATTACTAAAGAATGATAACAGCAACAACAACAATCAGCCACATCAAACAAGTTCTTTCCTCATCCTATAACATACATGGCTATGCCACAGCTAAGGCAGTTAATCAAGGCTTCCTATTGTCATGGGCAGGTTTGATCCAGTCAGGTTATATGGAATTTGTGGTGAATGAAGTGGCACTGGAGCACATTTTATCCAAGTACTTTGGTTTCCCCTGCTAATCCTCTTTCCACCAACTGCTCCACATTCATTAATCATCCTATCATCGATGCTGTATAGCACTGTTACTGATAACATAGTTATACAGAGTGAATCGTATAGAACCGGCCCAACGAATCTGCTAATAATTCCACAGGTGAGACATATAACTGCTCACAATCACGACATAATAATCCGTGGACCGTGCTGAGTCAAATGGTGTGCGCATGATGTGGCAAGTGGCAGCCCTTATGCTGCAAGGTCAAGGACAATCCTGAAAAGTGTCTGCAGTGTGCAGGTGACAATCATGGAGTACGCTATTGAACAGCGAGTGTTTCTCATGCGCACATACTGGGTGACAGGCTCAATTGTGAACACACAATTGGAATTCAGGAGGAAGTTTGGAGTTCGCAAGAAGCCAGCAAAATCGACTATACAGTCATTGGCTCAGAAACTGGAAAGGACAGGGACACTTTTAAGTGAATGTGGTAAAAACCACCCAGAAATGCCAGAAGAAACGATTGCAATTGTGCAGGACAGGTTACTGCAGTCTCCCAAGAAATCATTACGATGTCTAAGCCAGGAAACCGGGTATTCTTATTGAATGTGTCAACGGGCTGCAAAGAAAGCGAATCTTCGTCCCTACAACATCACCAATGTTCAGGAATTGGGTGATGTTGATAAAGATGAACGGGTATGGTACTGTTTATGGTTTCGGGAATTCGTGCACAATAACCCCAGAATTTTGGATATCACTTGGTTTAGTGATGAAGCATGGTTCCACATATCAGGATATGTAAACACACAAAATTCCAGGATCTGGGCATCTGAAAACCCACATGAGATTGCTAAATCACCACTACACCCACAAAAACTGGGTGCGTGGTGCGCCATTTCTGGTTTACGAATCAGTGGACCGATCTTCTTCGACACGACCGTGGACAGCACCTTATACTGCCATATTTTTTACGATTTCGTGCAGCAGCTGGATGATGTGGAACTTACACAGGGTTATTTTCAGCAGGATTCGGCGACATGCCACATGTCCAACATGTCCATGGAACTGATTGAGAGCTTCTTCCCCAATCGTGTCATCTCTAAAAAGATGTGGCCCCCAAAATCCCCCGACCTTGCCAGCCCGGATTTTTTTCTCTGGGGTTTACTGAAGGACAGGGTGTATGCAAACAAACCGCGTATGTTACAGGATTTAAAGGACAACGTTTCGGCTGAAATCAGGAACATCACTGAAGAAACACTGCAGCAAGTCACGGCAAATATGCAAACGCGGGTGGAGGCGTGCCTACTTGAAAACGGCAGACACTTTCAACGCCTGCTCTGATCACGGCACACAATCCAAGATAAGATATGTGTAAATTACTTTAATATCTGTATGGTATATTTTATATTACAGCTCATTTTGTTGGGCCGGTTCTATATGAATCACCCTGTATAACTATGACTATGACTAACAATGAAGAAGAGTCGGTAGGGAAGTGGAAGGAAGTGGTCATCTCCTTAATTTTAAGGACTACTCTGGCATTTGCCTGACAGAAGTGTGGGAAGCTATTGTAACATAATGTCTAAGTTAGAAATCTTGGAGGCAGAGAAATCTTATAGACATCCACAGCTAGGTAACATCAAGCAACAGCTGACCACCAGGTAAGCACACAACCAATACCACAACAGCAATGTACATGCACAACAGATATGAAACCGTTAAGGGAGGTGTCTTGTCAGTTTGCAACAAAGCTATATACAAAGAGAGTCTATGAGCTAACAAAAGAGTGAACTCTCATGTCGAGGCAGGGTCACATATCTCAACTGTAGCCATAGTCATAGGAGGCAACAAAAGGGAACCCAGTGCTTGGGGGTATAACTGGGCCACACTGTTCCTGGGAAATATAAATACAGGAACCTGGCCTTCCATGTTGGGGAAGTCTCAAATTTGAGACAGTAAATTGTGGTCACGAGTCCCACAGGAATCAAACCCGAGAATGACTGGGCTGGCAATAGCCAGCAGCAATTGCAAACTACAGACCCATCCTCTTGTCAGAGAGGATGTTATATAAGGACTATGAAAGCAAGTGTTCAGTTGAAAAAAAAAAATTTCTGGTCATGAGTCTCAAGGGGCTTATCACCAAGATGAACTGATTGGCAGTAAACCATCAGTCGTAAAGTAACTCTGACTCTGACTAACAAGAGTCCCTGTTATCAGGGCGCGAAACCTAGCAACGTGTCTGTGATGACAGGGCCAACAACCATGAATGATATATCAGATTACAAAATTATAGTGGATACCTGTGAACTGTGTGGTCCACAACTGATAAATAAAACACACACATGGCTGTCTGGATCCAGGATGTTGGTTGCCCTGCAGATCAGGTCTCAACATGCAAACTGGTTCCTGACAACTGACTAAAAAGTCTGTAGTCATATTTTTTTTTTCATTTCTACAGTATGAGCACTTACTTCACTTTATAATTCTGATTGTTTCAGATGTAAAGGTAAAGTTGTTCCTGTGCTTAACTAATTAAGCACTATGCCATGAAGGCGTATGGTGGAATGGATGTATTGATCCACATTTTCTTGTCCTCGGCACTAGTTGGAGGTGAGTGGGCAGCTCCATGC